AAGATTTTCCACAAATGCATTTCTAGCTCGTGGAATTTCATTATGCTATCTTGTTAAATTTTTTAAAAAAATTTGTTTTTTAAAATTATAATTAAATTTGTCAGATTATGAATTAAATTTAGTGCAGAAAATTTATTCTGTCTATCTCAATTTTTTATTGTTTGTTAACTTGTATAATTTTATCATTTCAATTTCAAATTATATATGAGCTAATTCTTTAAATTTAATTCAAGCATTAATTAATTAATGTGCTAATTAAGCATGGTCTTTGGTGGGATTGTACACGAGCGGAAAAGCATGTCGTTGCTGTAGCTGATTTCTATGCTGAAGAACCGTTACATTGCATGTATAAGTTTGATCGTAGTGCAGAATTGGTCATCGAGACAACCTTAAATAATATCGATGAAGACGGAGCTGCCGGTGAATCGGAACATCATCGATTTTGGGGTATTATTTCTTTTTTTTTTTTTAAATTTCCCAAAAATTTAAACTCTTAAAAAAATGATCAATCGTAATGCCCAAATAAATACCAAACATACATTGAGTACAATTAATTTTTCATTTAAATTCATATTTTTGCAAATTTAATTGAACTAATTTAGAGTTCTTTTTTTTTTTCTTGATTGCTAGCATACTTAGCTAAAACATAGATATGGCAATTTCTGTAACATTCTTTGGATATTTACATTTATTATTCATTTTGTGATAGCAGCTATATATATATATATATAAATTAGATATGGAAGTTATTTGAAATTAATAAAATTATCACTAATATTAATTGATTTGATAAGTTATCATTTCAGCATGGCATAAAGCAATTCTCTTTTTCATTCTCTTTTCGCAATTTCTTGCATTCATTTCATTATGTACCGGAGTTTGCATACCATGCTTTCGACCTACCGCATTTATTTTCACCATTTCACTTTTTATTGCTTGTAAGCTTCTTTTTTTTTTCTTTTTATCAAATTTCACTCAAATCATACTTTGAATATTGTATTGCAAAATATATCGCAGAAAAAGATTTGGCGAATTTGAGCTGCTTTAGTAATTAAGTCAATTAAAACATGATTTAAATTATTATTCAAAATTTGAAGCAAACAGTGTAACTTAAAATGAATATATTTTTACATATTCCAATCTTTTATTCATAATTAATGATTAATAAAATAAGTTGTATGCTTTGAAATGGCTCTAATCTTTGAAATAATAGTAAAAATTTAAAAAAATTTGGATAGTTATTAAACTGTGAGTTAAATTTGAAATAAAATTAATTATCATTCATTGAATTTCCTGGATGAGTTAAATTGAAATAAAATTAATCATCAATTATTGAATTTTTTTTTTTTTTGATTAGTGTTATGTTCACTGATTGCCGATGGTGTCTTTTTCTTGGCAGCAAACAGAGTGGACAATCGTTTTGTGCAAGGAATGGTTGGAAGCTATGAAGTTAGTTTTATATTCTTCTATATTACTATCACTGATTAAAATCAACTAATAGATTTTACCCATTTGAAATCATTGATAAGATTTCATAGCACTTCAAATCAATCCAATTCAAGTATTTAAGTAAAAACTTTCCAAAGCAATATTTAAATTTCGAAAAAATAAATCACTATTTCTGAATGTAAAAACGTTAAGAATGCAAAAAATTGGTGTTAGTTAATTTTTCAAAATTTCATTTTTTATATATTCCAAAATTTGTTGATTTTTCAATTAAATCTAAATTTTTATTTCTCAATATTTGATATTAAATCGCTAAAAATTTGATTTATCTTTCCTCGAATCATACCATTTTTATATTTTAGCAACGAATTGGTTATGCATTTTATGTACATCTGATTGGTACATTATGTTGGATGGTGGCATTCCTATTCGCCTTATTAACCACCTATAAATTTTTCACCGAACGATACTCTTCTCGGTAAGTATCATTTTGCATTTACAAAAGTGTTCCTAAAGAAGAAATTACGGTTGATATCAGATATATGAGTGATATCTCGATGTTAAATTATTGTTCATGTCGGAGATACCAGTGATATCTCGATGATAAGTTGTGGTCCGTGTCAGAGATATCAATGATATCTCGATGATAAATTATAGTCATGTCAGAGATATCAGTGATATCTCAATGATAAGTTGTAATTGGGATCAGAGACATGAGTGATATCTCGGTGATAAATTATCATATTTTTATCTTTAAAATGAAATGAATTCCGATTAAGTGAAATTCAATGAAATGATTTCAAATTCAATTTTGATAAAATCTTAAATAATTTTAAATATACGTTTTTTTTTTTTTTTTTTTTAAATTAACTTCGTCCATATCCTTAATATATTAGGATGAATGTTCTTATTAATTATTAAGGCATAATTGTCCCGATCTCATATTTCTCAAATGAATTAATTACCATTTAATAAATGATCATGCAGAATTTTATAATTTCTTATCAACCTTATCATTACACATATGACATTTTCAAAGTCACACTAAATCAACGTAACATCTTATTGATTAATGATATTTTTAGCGATACTTTCCACAGTCAAATTTTTGGCTACTGAAAATAAAACAATATGCAAGTTCTGAAAAGTTCAAGTTCCATTTTTTAATTATGCCGCTTTATTTATCATCATTGGAAAAATATCCGTTTATATATTAATTTACACAACTTTCCACGACAGCAAACATACAGCTTATAGCTTATATTTTAGCTTAAATTATAAATTTATTAAATAGACTGTAAATCATCATTTGTATTTTACTTACAGTTAAGTATAGAAAAGATTATGATATAGAAGTATAGAAGAGACCTTATTCTTTTTCTTTCCAGAAATATCAAAATCCTATTATTTGAAGAATTTACTTTTAGGTATACAGTTTTCAGCCAGACTCTTTATTGGATCAAAAAATTCATTAAATATTCATTAAAATTTTCATTTTTATCGAGATATAGTTAATTAAATTTTTTCACATTTCTACCTCTGCATTTCACCTATTTTTATTTCTAAATTTCAATTTTTGCTATGCAAATAGAAAATACAAATAACGCAAACAAATGGTTCAATTTTGGATTTGGATTCAAATCAATAAAATTTAATTTATAAATTAACAAAATTTTTACTCGAACTTTTTTCATCTTTCAATTTCTTTCATCTGATATCAGTTAGTTAGCGGTTAATTATAAGAAATTTAATTTGACTGAAATTATGATCAAATGTAATGCTAAATGAACAATCTATGTTAAAATTATCATAACCAATATTTTTATGCTACTTTCCTACGAAATAAACTTGAAATAACTTTTCCACTCAATATTATTCAATTTTAGCTGAAGAAATTTTGACTAAAAAAGAAAAAAGACATGCTATTTATAGAAGATGAGAAAAAATTAAAATGCATTTTATTGATCAAAGAAATTAGCATTTGCAGGAAACCTGATCAAATTCCTATCTTCAGTTCTGGTGCCCATTTTCGTTCGGATGCTGATCCACCGCTTCTGGAAAAATACAATGTTGCACCGTCGAGGACATCACCGCCAGTAACATACATTCGTGAGCACACGTATCGCGTAACAAGCGCTTGATTGATTTCAATCAATCAAAAAAAAAAGCCAACAACAAATTTATGACACTCTTCTCGTACAGAACAATTGGAAATTAAAATTTATTAAAATTTCCTATCTTTTGCAAATATAAATTTTTGATTCATTTCATGCTTATTTTTCTTTTTCTTACAAGAATTTTTTTGCCAATTTAATTACGCTCAGATTTGATAATGCTGAAGTAAGCTAAATGCTTTATCAGTCTTATATTCCATAATTAATTCAACGTTCATTTGGGTTTAATCGTTTTTTTTTTTTTTTTTTTAATTCGCCAATATTATTGCTATATCAAAATGCTCATATTGTATATGCATTTCAAATTTCATTTTCTAACATATAATTTAATTTGATATCTTAAAGTTGTCGAAGGTATTGATTAAATATTTAATTTTATTTGTTTTCAAAATACCTTTGTGAATTGTGAAATTAGTTAAGTTTAAAATCATTTCATAGTAAGAAATGAAATAAGATTAGAATACCATAACTGTTCAGAAATAATAATTGACAGTAAATCCTGATTATATTAACTTTATTTTTTCTAAAAAAGTTTTTTTCTTTTAATATGACCTTTTTAAAAATATTCTAAAAAAAATTTTTTTAAATAGGCACTTTTATCTCTTACAATTTACTTACACATTTTTTTTATTGATTCTGGAAGCTTATTTACAAGTGCTATTAATTATTCATTAAATGTTGATAGGATGCTTTCCATTTAACTTCTTCACTCGTATAGATCTCTAATACTTCCCAACTTTTTTTTTTTTTTTTTGCAAAATCCGAAAGATTTTATTTAGGAAAAATTATTTTGAAATTTTCTTCTTTTTTGCTGCTCTCTTCTTTCCTGCTATTGTCCTCAAAATTTTTTCAATTTTCAATTACTTTCAATTTAAGATACTTTCTGTGTATTATTCAAATATCGATGTTTTGTTTTCATTTTTCTTCAATATGAATTTAATTGCGCAAAATTAATACTTTCATTCGACATTTCTCTTTACAGCAATAACAACAACAACAACAACAATAAAAACAAAAACAAAATGAAACAATTCTTATTTGTTTATCGCTTATCTTGGTTGAAATTTCATTTCTATTTGTTTATTAAAATTGTTACTGTTAAAATTATCATTGTAAGATTTGATTGGTTATTGCAGAAGTGTTCAAAAAATTGTTCCAAAAGCGGTTTTATTATAGTCAAATGTTGGATTGTACTGCGCTTTTCCGTCAAATCAAAAAGCGAAGAAAATTGTTGCATAATTTCTTTTTAGGATTCCAATTAATTTCCGTGTTAAAAAGAGAATAATAACTGCTAAAAGCGCACAATTTTCGTTTCCTTTTGCACTAGGAAAAAAAAAAAAAGTTTTTGCTTCTTTTTTCCCGGAACAAAAAGTTAGCATTTTAAGTAAACTTGCGCAAATATATCATATTAGTTTTAGCTTCCTGGATTATTCAATTTTTGCATCAATTATATGAGTACGGTTAAATGAGCAATTTTCATAAAGGAAATGCTATGAATCGGTTAAAAAAAATTTTTTTTTTTTTTTTGCTAACAAATAATTTGAAATAAAAGAAGTAAATGATATGAAATGTATGTGGTGCATGTGCATGTATGTGAGACAGAGAAAGAAACAAATATTAAATGAATTTTTAGTAATACGTTAAAATTTCATTGATAAAAAATTAGGCTAAGCAATAATTGAATTTAAAATTCTTTCTTTCTCTCTCTCTCTCACGCACTTTCATTCATTTTTCATGTCGCTAAATATTATTGCAATATTTTGAATCAAATCATTCGTAACATTTTATGCAGCTATTCAGAGCATAAATTTACATTATATACTGATATTAAATATAAAACATTGTTGATAAAAATGCTCTAAGTTTTAAGATGGTGTTGTTTTATCAATCATTCTTCTCGACAATAAATACGAACGGTTTTATTTATTGAATTTAAATTTCACAACCAAATTTTCATATTGTCTGGGTATTTGGTTGCCTAAACTTTAACCTTTAAATGTATTTTTTGTTATTCTAAGACAAATATGTTAATTATAGTTAAGTAATGAATTTTGTAAAAATCAAAGTATTTCAATTTTTTCCTCAGAAAAGATTTCAACTTTTCAATTAAACTTGTTGATGAAAAATGATAGATTTGAAAGCGATAAAATTGTTTGTAATTAAAAATTTGAAAACATTTTATTTTAGTATTCAAATTGTTTTAGTTAAAAATGTCAAGAAGTTATCCAAAAATTTTTCGATGAAATAAAATGAAAAACTTATCAATCATTCAATCTATGCTTCAAAAAAATGAAAAAAAAAAAGATTGCAAATATTTTGATTACCCCAATATTTGGCAATATTACGATGCAAAAGTATGAATGACTTTCACTTACCTGCGCTTTTTTTTTTAATTACATGTTAAAAAATTAATGAAAATGATTTTTCTGACCAAAAAAGGTAACATTTAGGGCTCGATAGCTTGTTTACATTTATTTTACTTTAGGAATAACAAATTTGCTGATTTAATATTATTATTATTATTACAATTTTGTCCAATCGGAATTTTTAATTTATTTAATTTACAAAACAACGTCATTTATCTCGCAGTTATTATCGATTAAATGATAAATAAACTTTATGAGCACAGCAAAAATTCCATCTAAATGATTTTGGAAAAATTTTTCAGTCACCCAGCTGATAGTGATAATTATGATAATAATTCAGACAGTACATAATACTATTGTTTGTTTCAAATTACTA